AGACATGTCGCAGAATACATTTTGGCCTAAATTTGAGTTTTAATTTTTTTTTTACTGGACATGTTTAACTCCCGCCCCGCCATATAAGGTAATGACAGGCGCAAGGCGGTTCTCTCGTTCTGGGAGCTTGAGAGAGGAGAGCAGGTCATCGGTTTTACTCAGAGGGGACGTGTGCCCTGATGATCAGTGTAGCCCCAGCAGTGCCACCTGTCAGTGTCCATCAGTGCCAGCTGTCAGTGCTCATCCATGCCACCTGTCAGTGCCCATCAGTGCCTACCAGTGCACATCAATGCCACATATCAGTGCCCATCTGAGCTGCTTTTCAGTGCCACCCATCAGAGCTGCCAATCAGTGCCAGTCAGTGCTGCCTAACAGTGCCTCCTCATCAGTGCCTCCTATCAGTGTCGCCTATCAGTGCCCATCACTGCAGCCTCGTTAATGCACATCAGTGAAGGAAAAAAATCACTTATTTACAAAATTGTATAACAAAAACTAAAAAAAAACATTTTTTCAACATTTTCAGTGGTTTTTGGTTTGTTTAGCAAACAATAAAAAACCCAGAGGTGATTAAATACCACCAAAAGAAAGCTCTGTCTAAAACAAATGATAAAAATGTCATATGGGTGCAGTGTTGCATGACTGCGCAATTGTCATTCAAAGTGTGACAGTGGCTTGGACAGGAAGGGGGTATAAGTGCCCTGTAGGCTAGTGGTTAATAGCAAAAAGTCAAAAATATTGTTTTTTTTTCTCAAGATTGTCAGGCTTTATTTTTATAGCGCAAAAAATGCACAGGTGATCAAATACCACTGAAAGAAAGCTCAATTCGTGGGGAAAAAAAGGGCGTAAATTTCATTTGGGTGCAGCGTTGCATGACCGCACAATTGTCAGTGAAAGTAACGCACAATAATGGCCTGGTCAGGAAGGGGAAGCCAAGGGGTTAAACTAATACTTCTATGGACATGGTCCCGTTTCGCGTCAAACACCTCAGCCCCTTAGAAAGAATGGTCTCATTGCCGAGCAGCGGGGGATTTGAAAACAGCGGTCACGTGACCAGACATAACAGCTTTCCATCCGTGAAACCAGCGATAACAAGGGCCTGAATAGTCCGGTAACGGTCGGCTGGCATTTCTCAAGGGCAACACCGGGCAAAACCTTCACTTTTTAGTTCTAAGCAGTTTCGTGCAGAAAAGCCCTCTTGTGAATCATGTCGTGCTAATTGCAGGGTGCTCGGACCGGGGACTGGCTGCATGGCGGGACACGGAGGGGCTTTCACTTTCAATACGTTTTTTTGAGGTTTTGTCACACACAACGTTACCGGCTGCAGACCTCACTGGCAGTTCTGTATACAGCCGCTCGTATGTAGCGTCCTATACTGGTCCATAGGGCTAGTGCCCGCCCCTGCCCACTCCCCGAACTGTACTCACTCACATAGCCTCCGCCCCGCCCCCAGCGACGCAGCACGCACGGACGACAGGACGTGGGTCAGCGTGCAGGTTACGTTGCACGTCACGTCCCGGCTTGTCCAGCTCCAGTCATTGGGTTGCAGGGAGATCGGTGATCCCGGGGGTGAGGGAGCAGGTGAGGAAAGGGACTGGTACCGGGGGTGTCAGGAGCCGGAGGGGGCACGGACACAGTTGTACACACTGCTCTGTCAGTGTTATAGAGATCTGTGATGTCAGTCTATCCCAAAGAGCCATGGTGTCCCCATATGTTCATATGGCATCCTGTGTCACTGAGTGTGTTAGATTGTAAGCTCCGAAGATCAGGGCCCTCCCACCCCCTTGTTTTCAGGTGTACTCCCCCCTTTATGTTGTAAAGCCCTGTTACTGTATAATAACAATAATAATCTGCTGTGTATGGCTCAGTTTATGTCACCCATTACACTCCATCGGTTGCAGCTGATGTCAGACATTGTAATATCGAGTTGCACAGAGCAATACAGACCCTGTGACCCGCAACGTCCTGTCCTGGTGACAACCCTGTGTCAGGTTATGGAGGGGGGTCACTGGGACAGGAAGTGAGAGGGGGTCTTCCACCCAGAACTAAGGCATATATCCTTCCCTGATCTTTCCAAAACAAACATAAAAATAAATCTTCATGTGATTTTTTTTTTTTTTTTTAAAGGTGCGTTTTTCCTGCCGTTGCAAATGTTTGGGTTTGGGTGTAGAAAGAATGGCAGTCAAATATGCATTTTGCAGGGAATGCCCTCCGATTTAGAATTGTGGGCAGCATAGTTGAGATTCCAAATTGCCAGGTGGGAATAGGACCTTACTTAGGAGGGAGGTGCTCTGTAGTCCAAAGAAATGTACCAGGAATTGTAATAAAATGGTTTTATGGGAGCCATACACACAGTGTTGGCACTGCTAGAGAACACCATTCCTCTCCTCATCTTCATAGGAGAGAGGTACTCTGTAGTACAGAAGAAACAAACTGGCAAGGCTAATATTCTTCTGGGAGCCATGTATACTTCGAGAAATATTCACTTTCTGTTCCAGGTGATCTCTCCAATTAGGAATAATTGACCTGTAGTCAGCAACCCAGTCAATGGATCGGTCTCACGTGGGGACGTGGATTCTGTTCAATCATCGGGGTACACATTTTAGGTTATCAATTGCACCTCTGTTTCTACCTTTTTAACCACCTCCCGTCCGGCCATTGTATATAAACGGCCGGATGGTGGCAGTGCAGGGTCGGGTGGGCGTTTATAAACGGCCTCCCGGCCCCCGCTTGTGTGCGCTCCCTGGGAGCGTGCAGCACCACGATCCTCCGGACCCAGTGAAACACCGATCATCGGACGGGGACCTCTGTACGAGGTCCCGATCATGTGATCACTGATTGGCCAATCAGTGATCACATGCAAAGTAATAAGCAAGATATCACTTCTGACATCATTGCTTACTACGTGTGAAATCTGTGAATGATCAGAGGTCACGTGGTACAAGGCTATTCACAACAGCCTTGTACCATGTGACAAGCTGTGACCAATCACAGCTCACTCAGTAATTCTCAATGGCTGCAAGAATGCAGACAGATAGAAATGATTGCTTTTACATCCTATATGGATGTAAAAGCAATCAGTGTAAAAAAAAAAACAAAAAATAAAAAATATAAAAAGTAAAAAGAAGTTAAAAATTATAATTTTTGGTTATAAACTAATTTGGCTTATTTTTTTTTTTTTTACTAAAAAGGTAATGGAATACATTTTGTCCAAGATTAATGATGAAATATTATTTATTTGCAAAATTTTATAAGAAAAACACTTTTTTTCAAACTTTTTGGACATTTTCATTTACATAGCAAAAAAAATAAAAATTATTTAAAATTTATTTTGGTGAATAAATGCCACCAAAATAAAGCTTTATCTGTCTCAAAAAAATGGTAAAAAATTCATATGGGTACAGTGTTGCATGACTGCGCAATTGTCATTCAAAGCGTGATAGCGCTGAAAGCTGAAAATTGCCCTGGACAGGAAGGGGTAAAAGTGTCCGGACAGGAAGTGGTTAATCTCATATTCTGATCAGTCGTTTGATCGTTTTGATGGACTCACACATCGGTCAGATAATAAAATTGAAATGTTTGATTACCATTAAAAAAGAAGTTTGGGATTTGTTTTTTTTTTTTAAATCATACTTACCTGTGGTGGATGTTGCATCTGTCCCTGTCAGCTCTAAGGGTGAGACCTTGGTGATCATATGACCGCTGAGTTCTTGCAGCCGCTCTGAGCTTAGTGTGGTGAGTGTCAGTCACCGCTGTCTGCTCTAAACCCCCTGCCCGACCTGCTCACTGGAGTTCTGGGTTGGGGAGGGAGCGGGTGGCTCATGTTGAGCCAGGTGCCACTCCAGACTCTGGGGTGGATCACAACTTTAAAGTCAGGATCTTTCTCCAGACTGGATCAGCTGAGTGATGTCAGCTAAAAACAGGCTTCGGCCCACTGTCAGCTGAATACGGGGCACAGGAGTGCAGAACGAACTGCACACGTGTGATCCACAGGAGAAGTGAAGCCAAAAGAGCTTAGGCTGTACTTCTCTGAACAAACCCCTGACATCTAAAGACTGCCAAGCTGTAATGGATTACATTTTTGTTTTTGGGCCTATAAAGACTTTCATTGCTACATATTGCGGTACACCCTGCTTTGTTCAATTAAAAGTGTTGCATGTTTTTTTTTCTCCTACGATCCCGGTATCAGTTCAGTAATATCGGGGTTGGAGGATGGAACCACAGCACACAGCAGGGGCACAGACATCCATCACTGCTGTCCAGTAGAATAGAATGACAGATGCTACAGCACTGGAATGGTTGGAGTTGTGGGACACCAAAGAGGGGAATATGATGTCTTTTCTATTGCAGGGATCTTACTTAAAGTGTATCTACCCCCTTCTATCCTTTACAGCCAAGAAAGCTGCCATCTTGGCCTCTGTTTGATCTGCAGTTCCCATGTTGCTGCACATATGATCAGTTATGACACAAGCCATTTGGTGGCTTGACAGTTTGGTGGAGAGCACAAACAACTGTGACGGCATGCCTTGAATTTAACTTTTAGAAACTGTTAAATTGATAGGTTTAGTGTCTCTTTAAAGTGTATATAAACTCTAAGAACAGATCTCTGATATTGGCTCCCTTTTGGTCTGTTAATCTGTTCTTACCAAGGAACCGCACATTGGGAACAGCCTTTCCAGCGCACTCTCAGCACAGTGACTAAGCTGTCATGGAAAGCCCCCAATTATTGGTTATGATAGGAAGCTTCTGATCATGTGAATGCTGTGCCAATTTGTGGCCACACAATCAGAAATGTGTAAAAAAAAAAAAAAAAAAAAAAAAATGCAGCGCTATAAAACTAGTTAACCACCTCCCGCCTGCCATATAGTAATATGACGGACGCAAGGTGGTTCTCTCGTTCTGGGAGGACGTCGTATGACGTCCTTCCCATTCTCACCGTGCATGCGCGGCTCAGGGAGCACGCAGCGTCCCTCGAACACAGCGGATCACCGATCACGGAAAGAGCCGAAGATGTCGGCTCGGTCATGTGATCAGCTGTGTCCAATCATAGCTGTTCACATGTAAACAGGGAAATGCCAGTTATCGGCATTTCTCTCCTCTCGAGCTGTCACGCTGACAGCTCGTGAGACGGCTTTCCACGGAGGGGACATGTACACTGATCATCAGTGTGCCCTGATGATCAGTGTAGCCCCAGCAGTGCCACCTGTCAGTCTCCATCAGTGCCTCGTGTCAGTGCCACATCAATGCCACATATCAGTGCCTACCAGTGCATATCAATGCCACATCAGTGCCCATCTGAGCTGCCAAATCTGCCGCCAATCAGTGCACATCAGTGCCGCCAATCAGTGCGCCTATCAGTGCCATATATCAGTGCCCATCAGTGATGCCTGTCAATGCTCATCAGTGCCACCTACCAGTGCCTCCTCCGTGTCCATCAGTGCAGCCTATCAGTGCCCATCACTGCAGCCTCAGCACATGTCAATGAAGGAGAAAAACCACTTATTTACAAAATTTTATAACAAAAACTAAGAAAAAACTTTTTTTTCAAAATTTTCAGTGGTTTTTGGTTTGTTTAAGAAAAAAAAAAAAACCCAGAGGTGATTAAATACCACCAAAATAAAGCTCTATCTGTCACAAAAAAAATGATAAAAATTTCATATGGGTACAGTGTTGCATGACCTCGCAATTGTCACTCAAAGTGCGACACTGCTGAAAGCTGGAAAATTGGCCTGGGCAGGAAGGGGGTATAAGTGCCCTGTAGGCTTGTGGTTAAAATAATATAAGCATAGTGAAATTGCAGAAAGCAATAAAGTGCATCAAAAGAACACATTTCAATGTCCATATGTGAAAACAAGATAATCAGAAACACACTACTCATGAGTTAAAAAAAAAAAAAAAAAATTCTTAGTGAATATCAGTCCAGACAGTGCAAAAACCTTGAGCAGAGAGTAATGGAACCTTCAAAAAAAGTTCTTCCAATCAGAAGAGAGAAGATAGAATCCACCAAACACCATGGTGTGTGTAGATGAACCTTACCAACTAATGACGCCGCGCCGGAAGTACGTCACACCGGAAGATACGTCACCACGCTGTACCGTCTACACGTATCTGTACCGTTTCTTCTGCTGTGACGTACTTCCGGCGCGGCGCCATTTTTGAACACCCTGTATTCATTTCATTACACCCACACATGGGTAATGCCTGTTGACATCTACTGAAATGTGAGTGCAATTCGTTTTTTAGCTATTCTAGTTTTAAATAAAGCAGTTTTACACTATGGAGGATTTGTTCTTCTGTTTATGGGGCTGTTGAATTGAGCTGTATCCAAGTATCCATCTGCCTGCCTGTCCATTGACCCAGAGGGGTTTCTAGTCCAATACATCTAAGGGTCCCTGTCAACCCTGACATCAGACCATCAGGAGTACCCATACAGGAAGGATCCAGGAGAGATCTGCAAGGCTCTGTGGCCCCTAGGGGTCGCTGAGTGGAGGTGCGAGTCCATTGCAGCCATTTTTTTAGGAGCACCTACCGGTTGGTCACGGTTGTTTGCATGATCCAGAAGACTAAAGCACTGCAGCTGTGTTTGTGTGTTTCACACTCATTGGACTTTGCTATATTTTTGTTTATCGTTTGATGAGCACTTCAGTTGTTGTTATCCCTCTACAGGGATTCACGCATTCATAGGTTGGCGTCCCACCTGTGGGGACTAAGGGTCGCTTGTCCATTGATCCCTCACTGGGATTGGGTCACTACATGTTAGTCACTTATTAGGTCTGTTTTTGACCTTGATTTGGTTTGGAGCACTTAGTGTCACCCATTTGCATATTATTTGTATCATTTATTACTTTTTGGTATTGAGCGCTACACCATTGTTTTTTACTCATAACCTCCTGAATGAGGTTTTTTTTTTTTTTTTTCTTTAGAAATTGTTGAATCCGTACTATTTGAACAGTGTTTAACAGGATAGATGCAACCTTGGATGTGTAACATTAGTTTGGTGATGCAGACTTGGCCTCACAATGTATTGGGAGATAGATATAATCAGATTTGTTGCTATGATAAATGTGGCCTGATCAAAATTGTGTGTTATGTTAAGATTTGTGAAATTTATTTACTTTTTTGTATTTTGCAGACTAGACAATGGCAAAGGTTTCCGACATGTTCGACGTGACCTGGGAAGGTAAATTGTTATTCCTTATACCAGTGCACTGCAGTAAAATGTCTCGATGTTCATATAGTTTTGGGTGTTTGTCAAGAACAGCTACCCAGCCTGTTTATACAGATGCTTTTTAGGTGCACAAGTTACATTTGAATATCAGGAAAATAGATACACAAAACCTTCTTTTTTTTTTTTTTTTTTCTTCCAGTTTTGGCTACAGTAGGTTTTTCTGTTGTGTTTCTGATTTGCGGAATCATTCTATTTGTCCTGGTGTCCACTGTCGTTCTCTCTATTTGTCCTGGTGTCCACTGTCGTTCTCTCTATTTGTCCTGGTGTCCACTGTCGTTCTCTCTATTTGTCCTGGTGTCCACTGTCGTTCTCTCTATTTGTCCTGGTGTCCACTGTCGTTCTCTCTATTTGTCCTGGTGTCCACTGTCGTTCTCTCTATTTGTCCTGGTGTCCACTGTCGTTCTCTCTATTTGTCCTGGTGTCCACTGTGTTCTCTCTATTTGTCCTGGTGTCCACTGTCGTTCTCTCTATTTGTCCTGGTGTCCACTGTCGTTCTCTCTATTTGTCCTGGTGTCCACTGTCCCCTAGACAGAAAGTGATGGGAATTTCAAACAATTAAAGTTATTACTAGAACAAGAGGCGTAGATACATTTTATCTAGGGGCCTGCTGTTTCAATAACAACTGTTAAGCTGACCATAGATGACTCATTTTTTGGCTGATCGACAAAAATCAAGCAGATTCCCCCATCCACATAAGCAGAGTAGATGAAGGAATCTTCCACTCTATGCCATTGTATTCTGGCAGCTGGGGCTCTTTTTCTACTTGAATACACTGATCAGTGGCTGCAGCTGCTGACCAACAAAAGTTCTGGAATATTCCAGTTTGATGGAAGATCGAATTCTGTCGAGTAGGAACAGCCATACATTGATCACAATTTGTCCAGTCCCTACTGAACCAGCTGAATTTGGATCCATCTGTGGCCAGCTTTAGAGAAGGGAATCTCTGTCACTTTGTGTAGTTTTTTTTCTGACTTCCAGTTGCATCTCTGGGGCAGGATTGAAGGGAAATATCCCAATAGGACACTGATGGCAAAAAACAAAAAACGGACAAGGGTTTTAACTCTTCCCTGCTTTATCTAGAACTGAAAAAAAAGTTTTAAAGTTTTGCCCATGCATACTGTAAAAGACATAGGCAGCTATTTTACTTGTCATAGGATTTACAATTCCCTGCCACACAGGATAAGTTGGGTCCTTGCCTCTACCGCACAAGAGGTAGAGCAATGGTTTAAAACACACCCCCTGCTTGCTGGTTTGGCCAAAGGGCAGCAGTACGTGAATGATGATGTCCCTGTGCTCACTCTGCTCTCTTCTGCTGTAAGCATGTTTATCAGGAAATGCACACTACAGCAGAGCTTGATTTGCTTCTAGTGCATCCCCTCTCACTCTCCCAGTCTTGTTGTTATACAAGGGATTACGAAAGGCTGACAAGAAGACTTTCAAATACTTAAAATTTTTGCATTTCATAAACTTTCAATAAATAAACTTAAGCATTATGCTGCCATTTATCATGGTTTTTAGCTGTTTTTTACTTGGAAATGCTTATAAACACCATTTTGTTTGTGTTGTCCTCTTCAAGCAGAGGAAGATCAGTGAACATCCATTCACCAATCCTGCCTCTGTGTTGTGATTCCGGGAGCCCTCTGTCCTGAGGACTTCAGGTTTCACCGCTGTCAGATTCTGGCCAGCTGCAGCCAGGAACCGAACATGGACAGAATGAGGACTGTTAGTACTGGGTTTACCCAAAAGCATTGCAGGGGAGACATCAGGGGTCTTGAATAACCCTGATGTCTATACAAAGAGGGCCTATCAAGTTTCATGTACTGTCACATAGGGGCTTGTCCACCACCTTAAGATAATAATAAAGTTAAATGGAAAAAAATGTATTCAAATAAAACAAAATAACTCTAATTATAAAGTTAATCCTGGGGCAGAAGCCTTTGGGAAAATTCTGAATGATTATCATCCTGAAGAAATTGAACACCTTTCTGGAGTACATAATATTCAGGATGGATCCATATACACGATCTATATACACGATGCGCAAAGCCCTCCAAAAGGAAGAGTTCATTGACTTTGAACTTACAGGATGCATGCTTACAAGTCCCAAGTTTCTTGGTAATGGTGGAACAGGGGACTTTTCATTAGCATTTCCATTCCTTGCTGAGGTGACATTCTTCTCTCTGCACGATAGAAGAAAAAGATCTTTGAAGATCTCCAGAAAGTCCCGACTACTTTGAACAATCTTGGATAACTAATCAACAAAGAAAAGTAATTCTTTGTTCCAGGCCAGAGTTGTCTTGCAGTACTAGTGGTTCAAAAGAATATTCTACCAAAAGGAATAAAAAAAATCACCAAATTTCTGTTGGTAACCCAACAAATTGCCTTGGCATTAGTGACTACCCTAAAAGAAATTGAGACTCTTGGGTCTTATGACTTCTTCGATCCTGGCACTAACGTGGGCTCATCTGCATCAAGAGCTCTACATACATTGTTGTTACCAACATGGGATCAGAAATATTAGTTGGGGTCTTGGGTGCTTTTTCCTCTAGAAGTTCACCAGGTGTTTAGATGGTGGTGGATAAATCCATTAAATCTGGCAGACCCAGATAATGACAGATGGCAGCCCATATCCAAAGTAATCAAGCCCAGGGTGCCTGATCTCAGGAACTGATTCGGGTCTCTTCCAAGCTAAGAGAATTGACAGCAGTGAGAGCACTGTCACCCTACACATATTTACCAAAAATGCTGCCATGATGGCGTACTTAAGTCACCAAGGGGGGCCCAGATATGTCATTGTTTCAGGTTGCTCAGGGGATTTTATTCTAGGCTGATGAGAATGTCTTCTCCATTTCATCAGTCCACACAGGTGGAACACAAATCTCATAGCACACTTCCTCAGTCAATGGACAGTTTGCCACAGCAACTGGGAGTTGAATCAAGAAGTATTTCTTCAGATTGCCAGAAAGTGGGGAATTCCTGCTATAGATCTGTTTGCCAAAAAAAACAAAAAAGTGAAATACATCTTTTGGCTAGTGAAGAAAAAGCACTTATGGGAAATAGAAGCCTTGTCCGAAAAACTGTGATTTCGACCCAG